TTAATCAAAGTTGAAGTTCCAATTAATTTAAAATCCTCATCAAAGTAAGGTTGGTGTCTTTACGAATGCTGTACACATTATAAAGCCTCACATTCTCTGCCTAAATTCGTACTGCAACTGGCTGTGCTAAATTGGTGAAAAATTGGTAGCTTCTAGAGGTACATTTTTCACTCCGTGTCGACGTTTGCAGTCCGATGTGACCAATAATGTATCTTTAGAGCTTTACATTCAAGCCCTAATCGAATTGTTTATTATGGACGGCACTTTTCCGTTGCTGTTCTCGTAAACAAAGTATAAATAACTGGATTCCGGTGATGCAAATACTGCGCCATTGAGCCTGGAGCAATATTGTTTTAAGCGAGATGACACTCCGATAAAAATGATAGGTTCACAGTTCACACTGATAAATAGGAAAAATATTAATGCATTGTAATCCTATTAGTGCTAAAGTATGGTCAAAACAAAACTCACCTGTATGCCATGCAAGCGCCCAGTTAGAAAAAAACCGTCTTCTTTCAATGATTCCTACTGCACCACATTCAGTTTTAGTTCCTATTGTTCGGCTGCTTCTCTAAAACCCCACTTTGAATCTGCCAGTTCTCTTAATCACTCTGAGTGTGCATCTGTCCCCGGCACTGTTGCTGTCTTTCAGTTCCGTCTGTCTATTACCACCGGGCCGTCCGTTGGCGCTCCGTCTGTGCCCATTGGGGCCTTCATTTGTCTCCGCCGCTCCCCGCCCCCGCCCCGCCCCGGTCCCCACACCGGGCGAATTCGCCGCGCTCGGAGCTGGCAGAGACGGCCACCGCTCAGCTTCAGGTGATTAGTATGCTGATCCAAATGCACACGGTCAGAACAATGGCGGCCAAAGTTAGCTAATTAACCGCGGACGCCCGCTCACTCCGAGGCACTCATCGTCGCTGATCTCTCAACCAGGCCCCGAACGCATGACTTTCTGTCCAAACAGTTTTCCCTTGCCCACAATGTCAAAGTTTGAGAGCCGCTTTGTGCGTCAGGCGAGGACGGTCGGCATATTAAGATAATCTCCAAGATTGAGAGTCTGGAGGGCCTGTTGAACATCGACTCCATCATCGCCGAGTCGGACGGAGTCATGGTGGCCAGAGGCGACATGGGTGTCGAGCTGCCCCCGGAAAAAGTGTTCATCGCGCAAAAATCCATCATCGCCAAGTGCAATATGGTGAGTGCCGCCGACCGCAGAGGGTCGCCTCATGTGTCTAATGGTCGTTTTTGTCCGCTGTGGCAGGTGCATTAATAGGAAATGTTGGCGGCACCATTTGCGGTAGGTCGATGGCTGCTCGATTAGATACTATTTCTTCGTTAGAGCGATGTATTAACGGTCCACCGGGAGGGGCAATGATCGCTTTCTCTGTAGGACAGTCTGCGAGGCCGGGTCAAAACGACGGTCCATTGGTGTACTGTATGTGTGTAAGAGGTAATATGAACATAGCCCATAGGACATATATGTAGTGTGATGTTATGAAGCGCAGTAATGATCACCATATATTGGTCCTAGTCATTAGCCTCAATGCAAAAATAACCACAAAGCACACAAAGGTATATTTCTCGAATCTCATCATGCACCCATTGATACAAGTAAACCAAAGAGGCATGGAAACCTAGCAACAAGCCGTCAGCCGCAAATATTGCATATCAAGCCAATGCATTGTACCGATTCCAAAACTTCTGGGAATGTCGAGCTCATGCACAACTACTGCAAATTAGCAGTGCTTTACACCTAAAAAGGAGCATTGGTGGTTTATTTGTGTGACGGTTTATTGGTCTCAGTACAATTTCTCGCCGTCTGGTATCTGAGAGCATGCAGGTATTTCCGTTCCGTAGATGTCGTCGAGCCTATAGTGCCATGCACCACTCCCGTTGGGAGACAGTTGTCGGTCGGCGGGCCGGCGTCGGACATACGTGACCACACGCGTTAGGTATGATAATGCCCTCCGTGTGGCACCGCAGGCCGGCAAGCCTGCCATCTGCGCCACCCAGATGATGGAGACCATGGCCACCCGACCGCGGCCCACCAGAGCAGAGCTGGCCGACGTCGCTAACGCAGTACTCGGTAAGGAAGCGCGCCGTCAGGTAGCGGGAATTATGGTAACACTTCCAAGAAATGAGCGAGCTACATAATACATTCCACTGCGGGAAATGTGGCGGTGTAAAAAGTGGTAAACAACAAGCGCTGGTCTCAGTTTTTTTCTTCAAACGGCACCCACTCTGTTGGACGTTTCACTACTTACCCCTTTGCGGTGTTGAAGACGGCACTCAGCATTTGTTACTGAGTTTGCCATTTTTACATAGGGTCGCTCTCCGTTTTTTTTTTCCTGATCTTAGACGGCACCGACTGCATAGTGTGTATTATGTGTATTCACACTGTGCATGACGTCAATCCTTTTCTGTCCGCCCCATACTCAGACGTCGCTGACTGTGTATGACGTCTCTCTCTCTCTCTCTCTCTCTCTCTCTCTCTCTCTCTCTCTCTCTCTCTCTCTCTCTCTCTCTCTCTCTCTCTCTCTCTCTCTCTCTCTCTCTCTCTCTCTCTCTCCTCCCCTGTTCAGACGGCGCAGACTGCGTGATGCTGTCCGCGGAGACGGCCAGTGGCGCCTTCCCGCTGGAGACTGTCCGTCTCATGGACAAAACGTGCCGCCAAGCCGAGGCCGTGCTCGACTTTGAAGAAACGCTCGCAGATATTCACTCCCAGGTGAGAAGTGCCCTCTGACCTTCGAGTGGGGTCAGGGACTTCTTCGATCGCCGGTGACTCGAGCGAAGGAACGTGACACAGCGCTAAGCTGTGTGACGGACGTGACCTGTCGGTGGGGAGGTGGGCGGCCCCTTACTGCGGTCACCGCCGAGCCAGGGGTCAGTGGTAGCTGGGGTGTCCTGGATGTCAGCCGTGCCGTGTCGGCCGTGTCAGCCGTGTCAGCCGGTCGCGTCCGGAGGGTGCTCCACACGTGGGCGCCGGCCGCGGCCCGTTCAGGGAACCGGCCAAAGTTCGGCGCCGCTGAGTGTCGGGGAGGGCCTGACGGACGACAGACGCTGACCGGTCACCGGTCAGATGTGTCAGCTCAGACGTGACTGATGGGCGCGCCTTCGACGAACCGGACCTGGCGCCGCGTGCCTCCCAGCGGCGCGCCCGGTCCGACGCCCGACAGGGCCAATTAGTTGGGCCGGCGCACGTCAGACGACCACGAGTACTTGACGAGTGACGTCACAGTGCAGTCATGGTGGAAAATGCACCCACTTTGCATGGATCCGACACATTTTTGCACTACTGAATCGTGTGCAGCATACCGCTGTCATTCAAGTGAGATAATGCCAGGTATAACTTACTCTTTAAATGCGCGAATGATGGTGAAAAATGCATCCCCCACGTCATGAAGTAGGGGAGAGCGGGGCCAGTTGAACCACTTTTTATATATTGACATGCACAGCGAGATCTAGTTGTCATATCGAAAAATGCACAATGCCATGAAAAAATATGCTCTTTTGGCTTTATTTTAAGATATGTAAAATTATGTTTCAAACATATTTTGCTGCCAAACGCATGCTTATAAAACAGCTCTACGCCCGTTTCAAATGACCCCGATGCGAGGGTCAATTGAACCAGCCCATGGGGTCAATTGCACCTATCCTTAACAATGGGATGGTTTCCTCTTTAAGGCCACTTTCTTAAGGAGATATTTTGTCCGGTTTACTTTTCCAAATGCTACTTTCAATAGGTCGCTGGAAAGCTAAAAGTGCAAAGTTCCTCATAATAGGTGACATAAAGTACATAGACTATGGTAAAATGGGCGGATGAGAAAAATGAGAAATATCTCAGGCTATAGTGTGCTTTCAAGCAAAAGGCTGGAGAAAAGGGGGTCAAAAATTGAGCTCTATTAAACTACTATTTCAGTTTAAAAGCTCATTTCAAAGGTGGACTATTTCCTTTAATGTTTACAGCCCCTGAACAATAACCATTGCAAAGGTCACCGGGGTCCATTGAAACGGCCTGTGGCCCTGTTTCAACTGACCCTCAGAGAAGCGTTTCAATTGACCCCATCCGCTCCCGCCATCTCGCACGCGCCGTAAAGCACATGTCAAACGAGCTGGAGGGACGGCATCATGCTGAATGAAGGGCCAAATAAGGTGTTATTCCGGAGCCAGGAGTTCTTCTTTCAGCAAACAAAGGTATATGAGATATCACAAAATATTCATAAAAACGACTTCTCCCAAACGCCCCTCAAAAACACAAAAACAAGTGTAAAATCAAAATTACCGTCCGTTTGCCGCCCAAACGCCGTTGACAAAGGAAGTGGTCGAGCGCGGATGCGCAGTGGTGTCGGCAACGCCATATGTTGCATACTGTTGAAAATAAAGCCATGTTTCATCTGACCCCGTGTTTCAACTGGCCCCGCTCTCCCCTATGCGTGTGTAATTATACACGCATAGTCCGAACTTCGAAATTAGTTTCTCACCATATACAGTGTGCAGGCCAGCCCTTGGTGACCAGGCCTCATACCTCACACTGCCGCGCCATTAAGCGAACTTATCGCACCACACGGCCCATAGGTGAACGATTCTATCGCCTCTTTCAGCCAGCGGTCAGTGAGTATCTCACCTCACACGACCCGCCCCGGTAAGTGAATTTCTCACCTCACACGGCGGCCGTTGAGCGATTATCTCACCTGACAGGGCCGTCGGTGGGTAAGTCTCTCAGCTCACACAGCTTCCTGTCAGTGAGAATCTCCTCTCACACGGTGGCCGCCGGTCCCTCACCTCACGTGCCGCCGGTGAGCGGTGTCGTGCCTGTATTGACCGATGCCCGGACCTCCGCGTATGATCAGACGGATCCCCTCAGGTGCCGCCCCAGTGCACCCAGAGAGTCGAACAGTAAGCCAGGTGGCGACAGACCGACTGGCGCAATCCGACGGCGACGTTTTACCGCTTACTGGCTGATTAAGCCTGTTGATCGATTGTGTGTGTATACTGTATAGTAAGCAAGTAAAACTATTGATATTTTACACACCTTCTGTGTGATTTAGTTTCTTTGAAATCTGCATCAAAGTGACCTTTGCTGCTGCTCCTTTGCGTATAACCTTCTTTGACTGAAGTGAACTTGTGAACTAAAACGTTTATATTTAATAGATCTTAAGGTCTAAATCGGCGACAGTGTAACCTTATGAAAATTCAGGTGTTCAGAACATTCGACAATGATCATCGACTCATGTGGCCTACGAGACTACATAGTCGCTAGTCTCGTCTAGTATCAAACTCTACATAGTCTACGAGGGATATTGCAAATTTGTAAAGTCATGGCCGTCCCACATCACAGTATATATTACAAATAAGCCCATTCTCCTCCGTGTGTTGACTATTCAACGTTTCAAATAAGGGAACGCCTTCAGTGTGTTTCCATCTCGACCAGCAGTTTTCTTTTGGGCCGCTGTCGCCGGCGCTGGCTGCTGGCGGACTCCCGTCGCCCCAGAGCCGTCCGCTGCAGTGGCCAACCAATCGGCTCAGGGATGGAGACACGCAGCCGGTCGACTACTTTTTGCCTTTCCGACCGATTGCCGTTCCCTAGATGCGCTTTATTGAAGCAACCTCTGTACGACTGTTGGAGAGATGTGCTGTGTCTAAATTGTTATGTCCCAATATATAGGTACAGTATAGGTATATAGGTGTGTACAACATTTTTTTTTTAATTGCAGAGCGAGCAAAGTGAGCGTAGTCTTTCCATAGAAGTGACCATCCCACCTTAACATTAGTTTTGAGTGAAGATAGCCAAAATGGGGTCCCTGGCTTGCACTTTCCAGTTACCGGTTTGAGCACTCACAACATCGGGAAATGCCTCAAATCGAAAATATCTTATTTCAAAGTTGCAGCACTCTGGATTCAGAGGGGCTATAGACAGTGCATTTCAATGCCCCCTCGGAATGTGTGACGCCAGCGTAGACCTAACTATCTTAAATCTTTTACTAAAACGTTTGGTAGCACGCGGTGGTACCTTCGAGTATATGCTGCTTTGCGCGCAACAAATGCCGTAACTTTCAGCTGCCACACTATTGCTTCCAAATAAAGTCGCTAGGAACAGCGGAGATCCCAAAAGTAGCCAAAAGTAAATGTCTAATATCTTGAAAACCGCAACCGGTGAATATGTTTTCGATGAAATTTGGTAGATATTCGTTTTCGCTCTTTCTGAAGCGAGCGGCATCACTTTCATACCAATTCATTTACCCCGTTTACACGAGTCATTCAGCCTAAACGGATATATTCGATTAGCCAGGGAACGGATAAATGCGTTTTGATTAACTGTTTTGAAGGTGGGAGGGTCCCTTTAAGTGTTCTGTTCTTGTTCTGCACTCAAGTGTGTTGCGCAATGCGCATGCTCTCCGCTGCGTTTGCTGTGTTCTTCAGGTGTGCTCTGTGCTTGTTCTGCGTGCGTCAGGTGTGTTCTGTGCTCTCCCGCCACATGTTCTGTGTTCTCCAGGTGTGCGCGTCCGACCGTGAACTGGCGCGAGCTGCCGAGGTGGTGCGGCACGCTCGGGAGGCCGGGGCGGCGGCGATTCTAGTGCCGCCGGGGGAGGAGGGCACCGCACTCCAGCTGGCCAGGTCAGTGCAACGGGCCGGGCCAGGTCAGTGTAACCGCTCGCACCTCCCGCCGCGGAGGAGGGCACGGCACTGCGGCTGACCAGGTGAGTTTGTGTCACCGGCCGTACCTCATCAAGAGTAACACAGGTCGGTGGAGACCGTGGACACGGTGAACCGGACACCGACCAATGCGGAGAGCTGTGTGAGGCGCCTGAGGCATGTATCACAAATATAAGTCATGTCATGTAATTATATTCAGGTATGGCTAGCTCATAGCTGCCAGTGCGTAGTGGCGCAGTATTTGTCCACACTCCTTAATCCTTACGAAATGATGTTCTTCCTCTGAATCGATGGCAACAAGTTCAAGAATTGTTTATTGCAAAGCGGTGCTCAATCGCATATTCCGAATGCCACTCTCTATTTGCTATTTGGGTTGATATTGCCCACCGCTCTCGAGTGCCGACTCACCGACGCGTTTGAGGCGGTCGGGCGCGGCGCGATGTTGCCCGGTGAGGCGTTCAAACACGATACAGGGACCGGCCGGTGGTCCGGCACTGCCGAGACGACTCTCAGAGGCGCATTCCTGGAGCGCGGCGGCGACAGACGCCACCCCAGCGGGCGGTGAAGCACGGCACACCAATGCATGTCAAACAGCCGAGCCCGACCAACCTGTCTCGGGTGACGTCAGACATCACCCCTCCCCCGAGTGACAGAGACGATCCACGATGCAGTCCGCTCTGCAAAAAGGTCATGGCTGCGTGCAGCGGCATGGCTATAAAAAGCATTAAAACAATAAGCTATATATTTCTTATCAGAGCAGCGTGGTTAATACGGAAATCATGAGAAGCTGAGTTGCAGAGGGAATAAATAATGGACATGCCAAACGCATACCTGCGTTGCACGTGCCTTACTTTGTTCATCGTTGTGACTGGAATTGGGTAACCTTATCACTCCTCCTATGCGGTGTGGCAGAATACTATACTACTGTATGAGCTGCGTTAACTCGTCATCAGCTTGATCTTTATTTCATTAGCAGCCTAATGGGTTGAATGTCAGTTATTGACAGCAGGGAGACGGAACTTCGAGTCTCATGCAGCCGAATGGTTGCTCTTGAATCTGGCGATCGCCAGCTCACATAGCAGAAGGCCGCAAGCGAGAGCCGCGCCTCCCAGAAGCAGAGTGAAGGCGGCCACACACTGTTCCAGCCCCAGCGGCGCGTAGTGCTGCCGAGGCCGCGGCTCGACGTCGCAGGCCAGCTGCACTCCCTCCAGTCTCGGTTCGTTGTGGCGCTTCAAACGGGAAAAGACGCCCGTCTCCCACAGACGAAGGAACGCCACGTACCAGGCGGGAACGGCCGGATCGTCACGGCGAAACGGCACAGAATACCCGTATGTAGCCAGCACCTGCGGATGGTAACACAGCTTGGGACACGCCTTCCAGTCGCACCTTTGTTCTATCTCAATGTTGTCGTAAAAGAAAGCGAATTTCTCTGCCTCGCTTTTCTTGAGGAATATTTTTGGAAAGTTCATGGATGGTTTATCTCTAAGGGTAACTGTACTTTCAGCAAAGTTTGCACCGGGCTGGTAGGAGCGTAACAGTACAGTTTCAGTGGCGGTGCTTTTGGGGAAGGCCCACTGCCAGCCGGGTGCGCTCAGCACGCCGTCCAGCTGGTTGAACGGCAGCTCGGTGACCTCCATGGTGACGCGGCTGAGAAGGCCGGCCGTGTAGAGCTGCGCCGTCAGCAGGGCGGCCAGACAGCCGACACCGGCGGCCACCAGCTGCCACAGCCGACCGGGCCGCGCTGCCAGGCCCTGGTTACTGAACAGCGCCACCGCCTGCAGCCAGCTGCCGGCCGGACCGGCGCGGGTAGCCAAGTAGCTGAGCAGCACCAGCAGCAGCGTGAGGCCGACCAGCAGCAGCCGTCCAGCCGCCTCAGCAAACGGCCCGCCCAGCAGCGACGCGTGGCTGACGGCAGGCGGCTGGCCGAAGAACAGACAGATGTGCACCTTGCCCAGGTAAAGGGGGAAACTCAGATATGGAAGTCGCTCCGGAAGGGCCATGAAGTAATCGACCGCTGTATGAAGAGTGCCGTTTCCAACGTTTTTCAGTGCCTCGTCATAGGTCATTTGCCGAGAATCAAAGTACCTTAGCTTATAAAGCATTTTATGTTCCAGTACGTTCATCATATCGGATAAACTAAGGGTTAAACCGAAGCCAGAGACATCCACGTTAGCAAATGACTTGTAGCTAACGGCTTTGATTGTTGTGTTGACCAGTCGGAGGTCCTGCCAGCCGATCGGAGAGGGCCGGCCGATGTCGTCGCTCAGCCGTACGACGCGCCGATGGCAGGTGCCGAGCCGCTGCACCGTCGGACCGACGTCAGCGTAGCGGGCCGGCCGGTACACGGCGCCCGACAGCACGTCGTACACGAGCGCGCCGCCGAGCGGGCGCAGCAGGCCGGCCAGCCGGCGCTCGCTGGTGCCGCGCAGAGCCAGCACCAGCAGCGGCCGGCCGCGCCCGTTGGCCACGGCGGCCAGCGAGTCGGTCGGCAGCACGGCGCCGTCGGCGTCCGGCCGGTCGGCGTCCGGCGCCACCGAGACGAACACGCCGCGCCGCGCCACGGCTAGCAGCAGCGGCGCCAGCAGCAGCGCCGCGCCCGGCGGCGCCTGCAGACTCACCGAGCCCCAGTGGAGGCGCGCCACCAGCTCGGCCACACACCGGCACACTGCCGGCTCCGTCAGCGCGTCCATCGCTGCAACACGGCACACCAAGCGCGTCACAACAGCGCACAGACCAAGCGTGCAACTTAGACGTCGGCTATACCGTTTGGACTCCAACAGAAGCCACCACCGAGCTGTGTACTGCAGTGATGATGCAGAGGCAGCATTTTAATTTCCTTCATTCCCTTGATTGGGAGAAGTAAACTGATCAACTCACCTCGACAAATCACTTTGACCCTTGAACTCACCTTACAGAGGAGAGACGACTGATTTATCAGGCACTGTTATGCACACTGAGTCTTAGAACCTACTCATACTGGTCCGCAGGCTGCCAATGCTGCTCGAGTTGTGATCCAATGGCAATGCAACAACGGAGGCGACGCGGAAATATTTATTTTGATGGATATCGACCATATGCCGTAGGACGGCGTCGGAATATGTACCTAGGTCTTTTGTCAGCGGCCCCTTTGATACAAAATGGCCCGTCGTGAAAAGGACCATTGAGCAGACGACTGGACTTTCCGAGTCATTGGCGATAAGGTCGCTGTTGGTGCATTGCTCTGGGCTGTCAATCAATTACATACATGCCATAAAATTAAAGTGGTTCTAGCTTAGAAGTTGTCCATGCACGATTGGCAAACAAAAGTGAGGAACTCGTTCAGTGAATATTTTCACCGATAATCACAACATGATCACCGATAATCACAACATAATCACCGATAACCACAAAAGGTGACGAAGACGAAGTAGTGGAATACCAAGCCCCAGGTACAAGTTCGCCCGTGTGAGTGCAGTGCCACGTCGGGAACCGGTCGCTGCTAGATAAAAACCCCACGACTAAAAATCGCACATGTTAATGCTCAATAACTAAAATCTAATCTTGAAAATCATAACCAAATCACTGGAGTCCGAACTCCATAGCCTCTGACTTACCGAACTAAAGAGGGGCTCTCGGCTGCTTATCCCTGCGACAGCACAGCTTTCAGAATGGTTCATAGCCGCTTGTTGCTAATGAAACAGCGCAAACAGCGCAAAGCGATATTGATTGTAATTGACAATATGTCGACTACTGATCTTCTAAAGGATCGTTTATTAGCCGTTTCAAAAGAGCTGACAGTGTTTGCCCATATAGGTACCCGAGTGGTCCGTGGGCGCTTGACATATACCCATTGCGATATAATGGACGTCTCAGTACGTCCCTCTTGTGTTGTCCAATTCATCGGGTGGCACCCTTCCGGAGTGGGTCCACACTCGAGCTGCCCCGCTGAGAGCGTTTGACGCGCTAGAGACGGCTAATGTTATCCTGGTCCCTTTCATAATCAAGGTCGTACCAGGTGTACATATCCAGAACCGTACCCACTCTGTTAGGGCGGAGCCTCCGCCCTTTTGGCAGAGACAGAGGCAGAGCGTCCTTACGGGTTGGCTAAGTAAGGACGCTACTCGTATAATTTCTAGTTACCCACAGATCAATGGTATCGAGACGCTGAGCAAGGGTGTTCCAAACATAGTTTTATTTCCGTGTATTTCAAGCTATTTGTATGGAGTGATTTAATTGGTAAATGTTTTCGAGAGGTATAAATGTGCGTATGAATTATGCTTACAATAGTATAAAGAAAACGAACATGCCTTGCCTCTTTACCCACAACAGCCTCCAAGCACCAGCGCAGTTTTTTATGAAAACACATCAGTCAGAGCTGCTTACTGCAACTGGGTGGAGTGTTCCAGGTTCCTCTGTTACTCTGTCCCTGTGACCGTCTTTCCCTGTTCTATGCCGCCAGGTTCCGACAGCCGTGTCCTGTCATCATGATGACGTCATCGGAACAGACTGCCAGACAGAGTCGGCTTCAAAGTGGCGTCGTACCTTTTGTCCTTCAAGGTAAGTGACGTCATAGTCCAAGTGACCTGACCCTGCTTCACTCATCACAAAATCAATGCATGGATCTCGACATTGCGACGGCCGACGAGAGAAGTTTGCCGCTCCCTTATGAGCATGTCCCGTATGTCGTATTCAACGGAGATAAGACAATAGAGATAGGTATGTCACGAACATGTCAAACAGCAAAGATGGCAAAAATAAGATCAGAAACAAAAGTTCGATCGTATTCGAAGCTAGGGCCACAGAACTGAGGAACGAATCATGCGGGAATGATGCTAACCAAAAGACCATTCAGGATTGAAGCCTTGCGGCACAGCATCTATTAGGCGCATGACTGCCTGACATCTAGCGGCTGGACTAAGAACTATAAACCAGGCGGAGCAGCCTTGCGGAGCAGTTGATGTCGCTTTTACCCCGTTTAATTCGGTAATCGGTTTCAGATGTGCCTGCCACAGGACATTCCTGGATTTCAGATAATGACACACATCGTGATGTCATCCAGCGGGTCACCGACCGGGTCAGGTCACTGGGACTGGTGAGGTCCGGCGACACGATAGCGCTGACCACGACTCCGGACGGTCACCTTCAGCTCCAACTGATCACCGTGTGATGCGTCGGGCTGTAATGTACTTCTTGCTCATGATAGGCATCACTCATAATTGTATATGGAAATGTTTATTGCCCGTGTTGCAGGAATGCCGGAAACCTAGTGTTTGGTGCGTAATGTGTGCCTTTATCGATTATGTTTAGGTGCTCGAACGGTGGTTTGTAGTGTAGGCAACTGCATAAGTAAATACGAAACGACGATTGAACAATAACTGGAAATGAAGACTCAAAGCAATTATCTATAGGCCAAGAACATCATGGAAATATGCCCAGATAGGTCCCGCGAATCATGGAGCTTCCATTGATACAATACCAATGTATGTAATAAATAGGAGGAAGCACTGCAATAAATGCTGGAGCAGAGTAGACCGCTCAGGGGTCCGATCTTTGTTTATCGTCACTGCGCTCGAAGCCCGTCACCACATTGAAAGTCAGGATGTATCACGTTTTCCGCTAAGCGCATCCTTAGTTATCCACAGCATCCATCGTCGGATAAGCCTCCCAGCATGTGCCTAAAATGATAACGAAATGTTTGTCTGGTGTATGGAGATGGCCGGCCGCTTCCCGCTCCACCACCCATAACCGGCAGCTGAATCATAATGTGCTTTTCTAGTTTGCGGGAGCATCCATAACGGCAGCTCGCATATTTAGGTGCATAATGCAGCCTCCACTAAGTAGTTTCGCGGTGTGAGTGGAGCCCAGGGGCCGAATAGGCGACGCCGGGAGTCAGTCCGACGGCGGGGACAAGGTCCATGGCAGCGACGAGCCGCTGTTCATTTAGCGCGGCGAACTATCATTTCGTTTGACTTCGTTGTGATAGCCCTCTGCTCTATCCGACCTAGCCACAAAGCCATGCAATTTTCTTGAGCGCACTGGCCTGGGCCCTCCGAGGTCTGTAGACTGCAACTATACATGCAACATGCGCGACGCGCGAACGAGCATAACTTCCACATCAGTGTAGCCAGTCAGCTACATACATAAGACTCGAACGGGCTCTTGGCTGTGGCAAACGCGGAGTTCAAGCGCCGTGTGTAAAAAAAATCAAATTAGTGATCAGACTCAGAGAAAGGATGGCGAGTGCCTGGGAAGTCCTCAAGGCATTTTCTTGTAATTATTCATAGGCGGCCAGGGCGGTATGCTGAAAAGTTTGTTGTGATAGGAAAGCCATCTCAAACTTTGTGGCGTTCCCGAAGGATAAGCCAGTACAATAATGGGACGAGGGATTTAAGGGTGTGGTGCCGCGCAGCCCACCGGCACATTATTTAGTTGCGGCGTCTCCGCCCAAGTGCGCTATTGTTTTGTCGCGTGTGCGCAAATACTGTTTCCTTTTCAAGTACCTTCTGATCTCGTTTTTAGTATTATATTTAAATCGTATTATCTTCGCTATTGTCTTAAGATTATATAATGTTACTTGCGTTCTAAAATAAGTTTATTGTGCTTTAATTGGCGTAATTATTTCGTTGTTTTCTGTAAGCCCGTTTCTATCTTTTATCTAAAATAGTTTGTGTTTCTGGCACTGTCGCTTCCGCCCCTTTGTTATTCCGGCTCTCGTTACACAGTTGTTTCACATCTCGATATATCTACGCTAAATATAGCTTTTCTACAGTGCACAGTGGCGTCTGACAGGCTGAGTATTCGCGCGAGCTTTCCTCACGTTTTTCCTTAATTTTTACCGCTGATCTCTCGTTATCTCGCTTACCTAAACATTGTCTTTCGTCCCACGTGTCATTTTGGCAGAACAATCATTTTCCTTCCAATCACAGAGCACGTAGCCTTTACCTGACCACTTCATAACTGGTGACCTGCCCGACGTGATTGTTTTGCCTGCTTTTCCTGTGCTTTTGTTGTCATTTTTTTTGTCTGTTTTGTTGATTGACCTCCCCACCTGCTCGTCGTGATGCCTGACCCTGTTGATGATGGCCGTGCCCTCTCCGGTGACACTGTTGTCCCTGTGACTGGGGGTGCAGCAGCAGCAGCTGCTCCAACTGACTCTGCCGCTGGTGCTGTCCAGCACGTGTCAGTGAAGCCACCAGCCTTCATGGAGACGGCTGTCCAGGGCTGGTTCGCGATCATGGAGGCCCAATTCCATCTGGCCAAGATTACCAGCGACACCACCAGGTTCTACCACGTCCTGGCTGCCCTTCCGCCCACCACAGTCTCCAAGCTTGACACATCAGTGCTTGGTTCGAGCAGCTATGCAACCCTGCGGGATGCTGTGTGCTCCCTCTATGAGCGGACTAGGTCTGAGCTATTCGATCAGCTCATCAGCAAGGTCCAACTGACCGGACGACCTTCTCTTTTCGTCAGAGAACTACAGGAGATTGGCTGCAAGGTGGGGGTCGGCGACGACCTCGTGAGACACAAGTTGCTCCAGAGCCTGCCGCCCACCGTGGGAACTGTCCTCGCAGCCCAGCGGGACCTCACGCTCCACCAGCTGGGCAAGCTGGCCGATGAACTGATGCCTCTGCTTCAGACGTCCTGCTTAGCAGCAACTGCCCAGCCTCAGCCGCCCTCGACCAGTCAGCAGCAGCACCAGTGGGACCATCGTCCTGCCGCCCGATCCAGTGGCCGCAGTCGGGATGGACCTCTACCTGCTGCCAGCTCCACTCCACGAGGCCTGCAGCCATTCTACAGAGACCAGCGACCACAAGTCTGCAGGGCGCACCTGTACTTCGGCCAGGAGGCCCGCACGTGCAAGCCCTGGTGCCGGTGGCCGAAGAAGGGGGACGCCAAGATGGAGCCCTCCTCCCGGCGTGGTTCTCCCCAGCGTCCGGGAAACTAGAGGGGCAGGCCCTCGCGACTGCGACGCGCGGCCTGCCACTCTTTCGAGTCGCAGCCCAAGCTGGAGCCAGCACTCTACACTTCATCGTAGACACTGGAGCCGGCGTCTCTCTGGTGCCTCAGGACGTCGTCAAGGGAGCCATCCTGCAGCCGACAGCTGTCCGCATCACCACCGCCAGTGGAGCGCCTCTCCCAACGCATGGTGAAGTACTGCTCTCCTTCGTCATTCCTGCCCTCCGCCGTTCTTTCCTCTGGTCGTTTGTTGTTGCTGACGTCACAGCTCCCCTGCTCGGCCATGATTTTCTTGCCCATCACAACCTCCTTGTTGACTGTGGTTCCCAGACTCTCCTGGACTCCGTGACCTCCCTCCGTTCTCCAGGTGCTCCCGTCGACCGCCCCGGTCCCGGCGCCTTCCTGGTCAACCAGAGCGACAGTCTACCACCGGAGGTCCAGACACTCCTGCAGCAGTTCCCCTCTCTGCTGATGCCGCTGCAACTGGGAACAGAAGCTGATGCGTGCCCGATTCCAGCCTCCCACAACATCGACACCGGCAGCTCTCCACCGACGTTCGCCAGTCCGAGACGACTCCCGCCGGACAAGCTGGAAGCTGCCAAGAAGACGTTCGACACCCTGCTGGAGGCTGGCATCATCCGACCGTCCAACTCTCCCTGGGCATCGCCTCTGCACATGGTCCCGAAGAAGACACCCGGGATGTGGAGAGCGACAGGGGACTACCGCGCGCTGAACGGCAAGACCAAGCCAGACCGCTACCCGCTGCCACACATCCACAGCATCAGCACCCGTCTCCATGGGATGCGTGTGTTCTCCAAGGTGGACCTGCTGAGAGCCTATCACCAGATCCCTATGTCGCCACAGGATGTGGAGAAGACGGCTGTAACGACACCATTCGGCGCGTACGAATACGTGTTCATGCCGCTGGGCCTGCGGAACAGTGGGGCTACATTCCAGCGTGTGATGGACCAGCTGTTCCGCCAGGTCAGCTGCGTCTTCGTCTACCTGGATGACGTCCTGATCTTCTCGCCAGACGCAGAGCAGCATCACAAGGACCTTCAGACCGTCCTCGGCATCCTCCATCGACACCGGCTAAGGATCTCGCTGGACAAGTGCGACTTCTTCAAGTCGCAGGTGGTCTATCTAGGCCACACCGTCTCCGCCGAGGGGCTCCGGCCGCCAGACGCCAAGATCGAGGAGATCGCAGATCTGCCGACTCCACCGGACTCCACAGCACTCCGCCGATTCCTCGGGATGGTCGGGTTCTTCCGCCGGATGATCCCACACTTCGCCGAGATCGTCCACCCGCTGACAGAGCTGATGAAGCACAACCAGAAGAGCACCAACCTCCCGTGGACCGAGACGGAGCTCGCCGCCTTCACAGACATCAAGGAGGCACTGCAGACAGCATGCACCATCCGACATCACCTGCCGTCCTGTGAGACCTACCACCTGGTCACCGACTGCTCACAGGTGGCAGCCGGTGCAGCTCTGTACCAGATCGCGGACGGTCAGCCTGTCCCCGTCGGCTTCTTCTCCAAGAAGCTCAGCGACCAGCAGAGGCGATACTCAACATACGACCGCGAGCTGCTGGCCGCCTACCTGGCCGTGCTTCACTTCCGTCACCTGTTGGAAGGTCGTGTCGTCGCGCTCTTCACTGACCACCGGCCGCTCACCACCGCGTTCCTCAGCCCGCAGACGGCCAAGTCGGACCGTCAGCAGCGGCACTGGAGCGTGATCTCCGAGTACGTCTCCTCCGTCCAGTACGTGCGCGGGGCTGACAACGTGGTCGCTGACTGTTGGAGTCGCCCTGTGACCCCGACGCCCTCAGTCCGCCCGACCAGAGCTCCGAGACCCAGGGGCGCGGGAACTACTTACCGACTGGGGGGGCACACCATAATAGAGATTAACCTAGGGTACCCCCAAATCTAGGTTTCTCACCGGTTTTAGGCCACTTATTTTTCACCCCTCGGATTTTTTCAACAAAAAAAGAAAACATTTGCAAAAAAAGTGTGGTATTCCGTCTCAAAGCTGTGGGGGCACCGCCCCCACGGCCCCAGAGTTGGGGGGGCAAGCTGCCCCCACTGCCCCCCCGGCTCCCGCGCCTATGCCGAGACCTCGCCACCGACAGGATCACTCCTGGCCACACTGGGCAGCGCGGCTACCGCGCCCGTCGGTGCGGGTGCGCGCCCTGAGTCGCCTCCGGTCACCGTACCGGACGGCGCGCGCGCGCGCCCTGTGCCGCCTCCGGTCGCCGCACCGGTCGCCGCGCGCGCGGTACGCCTCGAGCCGCCACCGGTCGCCGCGCCGGACAGTGCCCGCGCGCGCTCGGAGCGGCCACCTGTCGCCGCACCGGACCGCGCGCGCGCGCGCCCCGATCCGCCGTCTGCTGCGCTCCGCAGCACCGCCGCCGACACTGGCATGACCCCGGTGACTGCTGCGCCGCACCCGGCCACCGAGTCGCTGGCGGCTGCCGCGCCACCGAGCACCACGCCTACAGCGTCAGTGAACGCCGCCACCGTGGACGCCGCCGACCTGCACGCCATCGCCGAGGCTCAGAGGGACGACCAGGAGACAGCTGCCTACTCGGACCGGCTGACACCCTTCCCGTTGTCAGCTGATCTCACCGTCCTCTGTGATACCACTCTGACACTTCCCAGGCCGTTTGTCCCAGTCCCCCTCCGCACTCATGTGTTCGAACAGGTGCACAGCCTCGCTCATCCTGGTGTCAAGGCCTCCCTTCAGCTGGTCAAGTCGCGCTACTTCTGGCCCGACATGGACCGCTGTATCCGCCGGTGGGTACGCGAGTGCTCCTCCTGCCAATCGAGTAAGGTCCACCGCCACACCAAAACCGTCCCGTCTCCGTTTTCTCTCCTCAGCGACAGGTTCGAGACCATCCACATAGACATTGTCGGTCCTCTGCCGCCATCAATCCCTCACGGTGAGTCTTTCACCTCCCCGTGTCGGTACCTCCTGACGTGTGTTGACCGTTCCACCCGCTGGCTGGAGGCGGCCCCTATCGCCGACATCTCAGCAGCCACCGTCGCAGCCGCCTTCATGGACGTCTGGGTGGCCCGGTTTGGTGTGCCGCTGCACGTCGTCACCGACAGAGGTACTCAGTTTGAGTCCGCCCTCTTCCGACAACTGGCCGAGATCCTCGGCTTTCACCGCCTGCGGACAACGGCGTACCACCCCAAGACCAACGGCATGGTGGAGCGTCAGCATCGGACGCTGAAGTCGGCCATCATCGCCAGCAAGAAACAGTGGTTACAAGCACTACCTGTGGTCCTCCTGGGCATCCGGGCGGCCATGAATGAGACTGGCTATGCGCCGTTCACTGCCGTCACCGGGGGCATGCTGTTGCAGCCCCGGATAAGTGTGGACCGGCAGCCTGCTCCGGACGGCGCCGCCGAGACCGTCGGGGAGCTGGCCCGCCGACTCGCCAGGACAGACTTCCTCTCGCCGTCTGAAGGCAGCCACCATGGACTGACCCAGCCGCACATGCCGACCGACCTCTCGACGTGTTCACACGTCTGGCTGCGGGTTGACCGCGTGCGCCGCCCTCTGGAGGCGCCTTATATCGGCCCTCTGCGCGTCCTCAGACGATGGGATCGCTGGTACCAGCTGGAGCTGCCGTCGGGGAAGAGTGACACCGTCTCGGTCGAGCGGCTCAAACCAGCATACCTACCGCAGTCACCGCCGCCGGGTGGGCTGGGCGGTGCCGATGCCGCACCGCCCCTGCCCCCCGTGCAGTCCGGTACAACCACATCGCCGTCGGTGGAGCCGGGCCGCGCCGATGCCGCGCTGTCCCCGCTTCCCGGCCTGGCCAGCGCTGCACCGCCTGTGCACGCTTCATCATCGCCGCCAGCGGAGCCGGACCGTGCTGACGTAGCGCCGCCACCATCTGCTCCGCCACGTCGTGGTCGCCGTCTTGGGGGCCAGAGCTCGGCGCCCGCGTCGCCGCCGTCGCCTGTGCCTGTTCGTCCACAGCGAGACGCCGTGTACACTCGTGCTGGTCGCCGCGTTCGGTTTCGTGTTCCACCCTCGTGAGGCCAGCGCTGCACCGCCTGTGCACGCTTCATCATCGCCGCCAGCGGAGCCGGACCGTGCTGACGTAGCGCCGCCACCATCTGCTCCGCCACGTCGTGGTCGCCGTCTTGGGGGCCAGAGCTCGGCGCCCGCGTCGCCGCCGTCGCCTGTGCCTGTTCGTCCACAGCGAGACGCCGTGTACACTCGTGCTGGTCGCCGCGTTCGGTTTCGTGTTCCACCCTCGTGAGTTTTTTATCTTTTCCCGCTCCGCTCTTAGGGGGGGGGGGAAGTACTGTGGTGCCGCGCAGCCCACCGGCACATTATTTAGTTGCGGCGTCTCCGCCCAAGTGCGCTATTGTTTTGTCGCGTGTGCGCAAATACTGTTTCCTTTTCAAGTACCTTCTGATCTCGTTTTTAGTATTATATTTAAATCGTATTATCTTCGCTATTGTCTTAAGATTATATAATGTTACTTGCGTTCTAAAATAAGTTTATTGTGCTTTAATTGGCGTAATTATTTCGTTGTTTTCTGTAAGCCCGTTTCTATCTTTTATCTAAAATAGTTTGTGTTTCTGGCACTGTCGCTTCCGCCCCTTTGTTATTCCGGCTCTCGTTACACAGTTGTTTCACATCTCGATATATCTACGCTAAATATAGCTTTTCTACAGTGCACAGTGGCGTCTGACAGGCTGAGTATTCGCGCGAGCTTTCCTCACGTTTTTCCTTAATTTTTACCGCTGATCTCTCGTTATCTCGCTTACCTAAACATTGTCTTTCGTCCCACGTGTCATTTTGGCAGAACAATCATTTTCCTTCCAATCACAGAGCACGTAGCCTTTACCTGACCACTTCAAGGGAAGGCGCGAGATTCCCTCTACGTGCTCATTGAGAAAGGAATCGCTTATCAAACATCAGCACAAATTATAAGTTTCAGAGTTGCTTAGCTTGACGTGGTGAACTGACGGTAATTAGGTATGTACCTACCTTGGCGTGGGATCAAAATATTTATACGCTGTGGCTGTGACAAGTCATGTTCAATAAGCCTCACTGTTTCACTGCGCTGTGCGCCTTGGTTTTTCTGCCTATATGTACATCTAAACTTGAGTGTGACAAATACGCCCCCCACCCCACCCCGCCTGTACCACTGTTTCTGTAAATTCCGGCTCTGCCCCGAGAAAAAAGTGCTTCAGGACCTAATAAGCACATTTTGCCCGGTTCGAATTCGAGAGCGCGCTTTTTATTACCACCTTATGCTGTCTCAGCACTGCATCACTATGAAACGGATGAATTCCAATCCATTTCAATAAACAGCCATGCCTTCTTGTAATCTGACCATTGCTGACCATTGACCATTGCATCCAGCATGCATAGAGTCCTGTTGTTCAGTTTGCGTCCATCGGTCTCCGTTTGTCACACGGTCACACGCGGCCAGCCCAGTCCGGGCCGGAGCGGAGCGGAGCGGCCGTTTGGCGGGGTCGCGGCGCCGCCGTTTACCGCCCGTGAATGTTTCATGGAGCGTCCCGGCGCGGAGCCGCCAGCCGCCTCTCCGCAGAGTCCGGCCAGTCAAAGCGCTAATGCAGTATTCCGGCTCCGTCCCGGCCGCGAGTTACCGGCGAAATTCAACTCCAGCCCGGCCGTGACGCAGCGCCGGACAGCGGCCTCGCTTCCGGCGAGCCCTCGCCCAATGTCGTGCATTCCAGAAATGCAGTCGCAGTCCAGCGGGATCGACAAGCAGACGCCGAATCGGTGTATCCGGTATATTGCTGACGCATAACTGCCACCAGTACACTGTAAGTATACACAAATTAACAAACACGTGAAGTGCTACAGCCGGGCCGGACTGGGCCTCGGCTTCGTACAAATTAATGTCACCACCAGACTGACTGAAAGTGGGTTGACCACTCGGTGTTCCCTGCAACGGCCGACCGAGCTACCAAACGCACACTAACACGCATACGAACACACGACAAGCAGTGAAGGGCCGAGCACAGATCAGGGGACACCCACCCGCTGAGCGTCCGATGAGCGGGGGTCAGTGCGCAGTGGGCACTCGAGAGCCGAATCCGCCTTACGTGCATAAGACAGATAGTGTGATGTCACACCATCAAACTGACTGCGTCATCGTTCCACCCGCAGCGGCCGAGTGCCACCACCGTCTGGTCGCCCCTCCATAGCCTCGCGCCTCCCACCCCAATGCCGTCCAGTCTGCCGATGCAGACATTTCTTTGTACACGAAACGTGCCCAATCGAGCACTCCCTCCACACAGATACCGCCACCGTCACCGTGAGTAGCAACGGCTCCGGCCGGGCCGAGCCGGACGCCGCCACAGCGAGCACACAACCCGGACAAACAAGGCAACGCGGCCGCTGTGCGCGAGCCAAACAATCACAGCCCACAAACAAGACTCCCGCGGCTGTGCAACCCATAAAACAAAGTCGTCGTCTTCTCAAACGCACTCTGTCATGCACTTAACCCATAAATAACGAGGCTATTGTGGTATATCCGTAATTGGCAAATAAATTGATTGTTTAAAACGAACAAAAACAAAATAAAGCATGACTCCTCAAATGGTTGTAAACATATAACTATGGTGTGATGGTGCATCATTATATGACGTCATTTCCTGTTCACAACGTGTTATGTGCACATTGACCGAGCGATTGGTCAGCATTACCCCAAAGCAGTGGTTCGAAGGGGATAAAGGCACCCTCCCTTTACAACCCCATTGTGACATTATCGTGCACTGCGCGACCCACCAGCCCCGCACACCTAGCAGGGTAATGCCCAGATGCAGCGTGCTGTCGCAACTCTGCCCCTCACCACCCTCAAATTAGCCCGCCAGTGCACACAACTTTGCGAAGTGAGAGCTCGTGCGAACACCCTCCGGAGTATTCCGGACAAAAACACCCTGTTTGTGACGGAATAGTGGTACACCCGCGGAGAGACTGCCTCAGCCGAGACCTTAGGAAGTAGGTAGAAAAGAAGAGATCAGGCCCGCCACCAATAGCTTGGTCTGTTCGCCAACCGGGGAAGATGCCAACGGCCCAGCCGCGACCGACTACACTCGGGGTTCACCGTGCGTAACTCGATGAAACTATCAATGTACCAGCCAGGTCCAATTAGGCAAGACTCAACGACCCACTCACGAAGCGAAACTACACGATTAGAGTTACAAACTTCCGAATGACTTCCCAGCCCACGCTGAAATTAGCACACGCAACATCCATTGTAGACTTTACCTCTCTGGTGCAAAATGTGCGCTAGACAAAATACAAAACTGCAAAAGTCCGCCGTCAGTTGCGCCAATGGCTGCATTGTGGGGCAACCAGTGGAGGTATGTGAGGCTCATCACACCCAAATACTGTACGGGACGGCACGTGGGACCTGACTCGCCCGCCCCACCATTCCCCGCCCTCCCAGAACTCCATAACTCCGTTACGGAGGAGGCTCTCAGTGCTCGGAGCTGAAGTAGTCGACCCCATTCGCTCTGTCCGCCGCCGCCCGCGGCCGTGGTCGCCGCTCAGAGTCCGTTGGCAGACCGAAGGTCGACTCCGCACCAGCGCCATCTACCGAGTCGTTTCGGAAGCGCAGCCGACGCCACGAGTCCGCTGAGGAGTTGGTCGGAGCCGGCGCTGCCTTCCGGGACGCGGTAGGCGCCGCCGGCTGGCGCACCGTCCGTCGCGGTTTGACCTTCTCTCGCCGTCCCAGGGAGGCGCTCAAGTTCCAGCGGAGCGGCGTATCGACGGCCAGGCCCTCTGTCGGCGCAGCGGGGAAGTTGAGCTTACCGCGGGCGGCGCCGGTGTCGTTGAGCCGGCTGCTGCCGTCTCCGGAGTGCCGCGCGCCCGTCGGTGCCGAGTGGTTGGACGGCGGCGTGGGGATGGCCGACTCGTGGATGTGCAGCAGCTTCGTATTGACCACCTCGCAGTCGATCTGCATCATGGCCACGTAGTGCTCCGGCGCGCGCATCGACTCTGCGGACGGCGGCGCGGCGTCAGACACAGTCGGCGGGCACAGACTGACCACACCTCACCGCACAAGCCGCAGTTCACACACTGTTTGCAGTGCAGACACAAATAAACGAATATTAGAAAATCCGAAACATTAAACCTTCATTTTACGAAAGAATGAGCATAAAACCTTCATTTTACGAAAGAATGAGCTTGAGCTTTACTTCAAAATGGCAGTAAAGTTCAAGCTCGCCAACTTACAGCAATACCCCTGCATCGTCAATGACTACCTACGTGTGTAGCCCCCTCCCTTCCCTAGACAAGCCGTTTTCTCACCGTTGAGCGGCAGCGAGGGCAGCAGGAGCGACATGCGCGGCCGCTGAGTCTGGTTGTGGCTGAGCGCCGGTAGCAGCAGGTGGTCGCCGTTGAACGACACCACGTAGAACGTGTCGTCGCGCCGCTCGATAGCGTCCAGAAAGGCGCCATACGCGCCAAACCAGCGGTCGTAAAGCTGCAGCTCGGCCGCCCGAACACTGAAACACAGGCGGAGGGACACGGTCAGACAGAGCCAAATCAGCGGTCACAGAACAGAGCCAGCGGTCGTACAGCTGCAGCTCGATCGCCCGAACACTGAACAAAGACAGACAGGGTATAAGCAGTCAGACATACGAATTATAGACACCGTGAGACAGAACAGAGCATTCGGGCGTACGGCTGCAATTACACCTAGACAATGGCCGTAGGCATACATTGACACATACGGAGAGAAAATATGGTTCGAAGTTACGGGTGGCCACTTAAAGGAAGACTGCCACCTTCAAAAAGTTTTCTCAGATCGGCCTATGATTTATTCCCTGGACAAAACAAAATTTTAGAATTCACCTGACAAAGTATCATCACGTGAATCGCGAAAAAAATTGTCGATTATCATACAATTATCAATCGGTTAATGTCTAGCGACAATGTTTATACATCACTAGACTTCAAGGTCATAAGATTATTACATTTTATTTGAAAAAGTAAGGTATTTTATGATTTACTAATATATGATTTCATAAGAAATTGGCCATGTTTAATTTATTTTGCATTTAAGTTCGTAAAACATTTAAAAATCATGGCTCATTTGGAATGGGTCTGGCCCATGTTAAACCCCATTTCCCACACTTTTTTGGAAAAATGAACTACTGAATATATAGGTTTAACTTTTATTTTGACACTCCAAAATTCTTCTCTGATCTCGAAACAATCAAAGTTTTGACATATATTTACCAAAAGATAAGAAAATTCATGTTTCAAAGTTATCGATAAACAGTAGAGATGTCGGTTTTCTTGGACTAAAAAAATGGCATCAAACTGAACTTTGGTCTCCGATTTCTCGCAAACGGGTTCGAATTTCGGAAAACCGACTTCAGTCTGGGACATAGGTGGCTCAGCTCTAGTGAAAACCGTTTTGTGGAAAAAAGGTGGCAGTCTACCTTTAACCACATTTACCAACAATTGCTACGTCTAAAGATCAACACCATTACAGCATAAGTCCCTGACCACCCCGCGAGCTAGTGATCCGACACCCGGTCTGACCTGTCGCGTCTCCTGGATGGTCTCTTCCTGCGCTGGCGGCCGGCCGAGCGGGCGCGTGCGGTGCCGGCAGTGCGCGCGACGGGCGGCGGCTGATGGACGGTCCCATTGTCGGGCCGTGCCGGCGCCGGGTCAAACCAACCGTGCAGCACCCGTGATAGCCTGGAAAGACACGGACAGTCAGATGACTACAGCTATATCACACGCAACACTACACTGTAGTACTAGACAGCAGTACTATACGTATAACTACTAGACGTACTATAACTGTAGTAGGTCAGCCAATCCGCGTGTTTGTACGGAGATAAGCTGGTAATCCGAGGCCTCTTGCACCAAACTACCTAGCTAGGTAGAATCGGCAAAATACCTACCTAGTAAAACTACCTACGACGGTAACTTCTCTTGCACCATCCTACCTAGCTACCTAGGTAAACTTGACAGCTCGCGTTTTTAGGATTTGTTTTGATTGGCTGTTCGGCGACGAATTATTCGTGGGCGCAAACAAATAGTAAGCAAAGAAAACTAATAAATGGATATTGTTTCTATAAATATATATTTTGGTATTATGAAATCATTTTTCATTTATGTAAATACCGATGAAAGCTGCCTAGATATCAAATTATTTGAACAAATAGGCTTCGTTTCCATGGCAACGAGTGAGTCTTTAATGAGGCTGTTTTGTTACGGAGGTTTATCGCCTTGATACGGAGAAGCACCTCAGTGTACCCATGGAGTATGTGGTCAATTATATTATTATTCACTCATAAAGGATTGATTTATCATTGTCTTAAACATTTTATAATGCCTAATTTACATCAAAGTACCCGTGGATTATCATGTATTGTGCCTATTATTACTAATTGAATCATTTTACCTAAGGTTTTGCTAGTTATTTTGGAAGCCCGAGTTTACCGTCAAATCGTCACAAATTCCTCCGCGAGTACTTCTTTCCGGCTTTCGGTGCAAGAGGAAAACAGCCGGTCGGACTTTAACAACTGGTAAGTTCCGATGCCGTTCGTTGGAATTTCTAGGTAAATTTTCACGGTAGCGTTTTTTGGTAGGTAGTTTGGTGCAAGAGAATTTAGGTATAATCGGAATTTACCTAGGTAGGTAGTTTGGTGCAAGAGGCCTCAGGTCATTGATTCTGCTTTACTGACAGCCAAGATAAATAAAGCACGTCCTAATCCCACTTAGAGCAGACTTCCGGTGTGATTCACCACTGTACCGTGAACGATCGAAAGGCCGCCGCCCGGGCCTGTCCGCCGCCCACCCACCTCCTGGCCTCGGTCTGGTTGACGTATTTGGGGCACATGTAGCCACTGGACGCGTTCACCGCCTCCACCAGGTCGTTCAGGTCGGCCTCGGCGTCCGAAGGCGCCGGCGCCCAGAGCAATGTGCGCCCGCCGGGCGCCCGGTTCACCGCGCCCCCGTCCAGTCCGCCGCCGCCGCTCAGCTCAGGCGAGAGAGACAGCGGACTGGAGAATATCGAACTGGGAATGGAACACAGTCTGTTAGACGTGGGAAATGGTCCGTCGCAAATTACAGCTGAACGTTCAAAACAAACTTAACTTGTGCTTAGCAGGCAACAGAATATTAATTTATGAATCAGGGACGTTCTACGTTTAGTCCACACACACCATTTCTGATTCCGCGCCCATTTGCTCCCAGTCCCAGCCACATTCCCACTGATACGGCACCCAAACGCCCGCCCACCCCGACTGACCCGAGCGGCGCCAGGTTGAGCGAGGCCAGCAGCAGCACGGAGAGCAGCAGCAGCGGCCGGCGCGGCGAGCTGGGCGGCGGAGAGGCCGGCGCCTGCAGGCCGCCGCGCAGCATCTCCACCTCGGCCTGCAGCTGCGCCACGCGCCGGTGCAGCTGCGCGTTCTCCTCACGCAGCCGGCCGTTGTCCTGCTCCACCTCCTTCACACGCGCCTCCATCTCGCTGAACTGGTCCTTCTTCTTCTTGCGCGACAGACAGGCGGCCATGCGGTTCTTGATGATACGCTCCTGGCGCTTTAGCGCACGAGGCTACGGGAACATTAACATATGGTCAGGATCAGAAAAAGAACAAGCGATCAAGCAAGAAACTTCCAGAAATGTGCAGAAGTAGCTACCAATTCAAAAACTGTCCATTTATCAATTTATCAAATACGCTCCCATGTTCCCAAGATGTTCAGCTATGCATTCCACTTCACAGATCTGCCAACCCCTCCGAAGTCAGGTCAGGTTACTCACATCCATGTTCTCCCTGGTTGGTGGTACGGTGACGGTGCGCGGCAGCGGACGGGCCTTGGGGTAGCCGTCATCGGGCGAGGCGGCCGGCGCCGGGCGCGGCCGGCCGGCCGGCACGCCGCCGCTCGGGCGCGGTTTGATGACGGCCGCCGGCCGCGGCGCCGCCGCCGGGGCCGCCGCAGCTGGTGTGGTGATGATGTATGTGGTGGACGAAGAGCCCGGAGACACTGCCGCGAAAACACACAGTCAGAACTAAGAACAAGATACGTGTTAGTAGATAGGGTGCGACAGTGCAAAAAGCACGTCAAGATTAGCGTAGACCGATCTTTTAACTAGCGCGAGCTGAAATATTCGATACCAACTGATTACTGACTAAATGATGAGGCGCTACGAGGTACCCATCTATTTCCCGGTAACCAGGGGTGGAGCGAGGGGTGCAGCTCACCGTTCTGTGGTAGAATAACGCTGGGTGCCGGCCGCAGAGGTGTGCCTTTCGGCTGCAGCCGACGGGACATCGGGAGGATTTGCGATGATTGGTTGCTGCCAGAGTCGAAACAGATCACTGAAACAGATGGCACAGAGTAGCTGCGGTGAGTACACCAACGAGGTTACAGAGCCATTAAGCAATAAGGAAGAAAATCGCATGAGAATGGTCGTACAATTTGTATATGCCCGGTCGTATATCCTGTCAGCAGCTGAGAGATTTACTAAAAATGCATTCATTCAAACAGACTTCAGCCTCATGGGACAAGTCGGTACGTAGCATACACCGTTCGAACAGCACCACGCCTGGTGCTCCCGCAGCCCACCTTGCTGCGGCGTGGTGTCGATCTGGAGGGGCTGTGACGCCGCCGCCGCCTCCTGCTTTATCACCTGGATGATGGCGGCCGGCGGAGAGGCCGTCACCGTTGCCTGGGGCGGCGTCACCGGCGGCGAGTCGCAATACTGCCGGTGTCAGGGGGAAGCGGTCAGGGGGACAAGTCTGACAGCGGGAGTCAGCAGAGTGAGACAGCGGGGCAGATGGTCAGCATGGTCCAAATCATGGGTCGATTTCATTTAGTGACAAGTAGAACAATTACAAGAGATCCTTTACATATTCACCAATCACCAATTTATATCATAGTGCATAGAACAGATTCTCCGTGATAGAACGTAGTCCAAAACTCAAATTTCCCTTCAGGGGTTGAAGGACGGCGAGGTTTTGCTCTCACCTCAAAGCCGACTGAGTAGGACTCGACACCACTGTCGGAGCCACCGGGTGACGGCGGAGACCGCGGCTCCGGCTTCATACCTGGAAGAACGGCGGTAGCGTCAAAACCTCAGTCATAGGCCAATATATCGACTGCGGATATCGCGCGAACAATGGTGATTACAAGCGACCACTACAGGTTCTGCTGGAAATCGCAGGACGTTCCCACTTTGCTACCAGATACGGGATACCTACCATAACGCAAGAAAACCGACATGCAAGATGTCAGCCAAGAAGCCAATCGCTTGTTTCTTTTTTTTCGGAACAGCAAAATGAGCACAAATAATTATTCAGCTCGTATTTTTTTCGTAACAAAACATGCTGTGTGTGACTGTTTCACGATATTATCAATGTGCAAGAACAAATATGCCTTGAGTGTTTTCTCTTCTCGGTAAACAATGTGTTTCACGTGCATGCCCACGTGTTATATAACGCAAATATAACGTTTAGCTTGCAACGAAAGTGGGACGTGCACGTGCGGTAGCATCCAAGGGCTCCCTCAGATACCTAGCAGCAGAGGTTACAGCCAAGGCCCTAAAGTAAATACAGTTACAGCATGGAGAAAGGGCCGAGAGCAAGGCGCCAAGGGGATCCTCAGATGCTGCACTAGCACGTCAGAGGGCTGTTCCGGGCCCTCAATATACCCTGTTCACTCAATATACCCTGGTTCCGGGCACCGCAAACTGCTGAGTGCGGGGTTTGCAGCAGGCGTGGGGGAAGAGGATGGGTAGTCGGCATGACGTCACAGGCTGTGTGCGGCTGACGGTGACTCCCGACCGACGACAGCGGTCGCTGTGTGCGGTACCCGTCCACCGGCTGAAGGATGGCAGGGAGATAGCGGGCGGAGCTTATAGCCTGTGTGTGGCCCCACTGCACGTGCACCCAGTACCCGTGAACAGCCCTCTGATAAATAAATGCAGATAAACGAGCTGAGCACGTGTGGTCCACCGGCTGGGTGTCTATGCGTACCGCCGGGGTAGTCGGCCAGGTCGGCGATCTCCGGACACAGGTGGCCCAGGTCGATGGTGGCGTCCGGCGCTCCCTCGATCAGGTCCGGCCCGCCCGGCGCCAGGAAGAGCATGTCGTCGCTCAGCAGGCCGCTCTCCATCGACGTCGGCGACGGGCTGAAGATGTCCGACATGGCCTCGTCTGTCCCACAGGATGGTCCATTGCTCACATTAGATACAGCAGCAGTGAGTAGCTCATGATTTTAATTAAAATATTTATAGGAGCAACACATTACAAATTTAGTCCCAAAATATCATTTACCTATCACATGTTACAGAATTGGATGGTTTGTCTTTTTACTATCATAAGTACTCACCCATCACATTGTCATAGCTGCCTGAGGGTGGGTTCTGATCAAATATGCTTTCTTTCAGAAAGTTGGCAAAGCTGTCATCAATGTCATCATTTCTATCATCATCATTTGATTCTGATGATGACTGGGACCGTTCCTTGTTTGAGACAGATGAACAATGAACCTGGTTTATTGAGTAAAGTGACCTCATACCAGATTCTATTGCTCAACACAACTCACAGGTGCTCTGAAACAAGCATAAATTGTCACATATCTACCACAATTCCAACACTTCACATGATCGATTAGCTGTGAAAAAAAACATATAACACAGAACTCCAGTTCCATTCGTAGAGCTCACAGCTTCGTTGTTATGATTTAGGAAATCACTAAATAATTACCAAAAAATAAAATTAAAAAGAACCCTAATAATAATGTAAAATGATAAAAAACATAAGGGCAATGTCAGTTGACATCTGACAGCAGCATTCCACCAGCACTTCTGAAATTATGAATATAGAGTTTTGTTTTCTTTTCCTGAGGCCATATTATCTCAATCTGGTAAAGCAGACAAACCTTGGAAAGAATGGAAGCTCACGTACCCAAAACATTTAGAAAATTTGTTTGTGTTATGAACAATGCAAATATAGTTCCGAGATATCTAATTTGCCTGAAGACTGAAGAGCAGTGACAGTGAGAGAAATGTTCTGTTGTATTGGAGTGGAGGCAATGTAAGGGCATGCAAATCAAGGAAGGTTGCACCCATTTTTCTTGTTTGCCAGGCTAAAATTGGTATCAATCTACTTATTTTGGCTTAATACTGGCATGAAGCTTGCCTTGAAACAAAAGAAAGTCTAGACACTCGTACCAATACCAATGCTGATGTCAATGTCAAGAACACGAACGTGGACAGGAATTGAATATTGGCTATAGGAATTCAAGTGCAACCAAGGCAAAGCATTGGCTGGAGTTATTTTAAAAGGCATCTTAAAAATATACTCAAGTTAATCGATACTGATTCTGATGCCTTTGTCATCGTTCCTGAAGCAGCGCATTGGAATCCACAACCACAGCATAAGAAATAATTACCAGAATTTATAAAAACTACACCGTTGAGTGCGATTCAATATAGCATTTGTAGATATCAACTAAAAATTACCGACCTTTTCTGCCCTAAAGATGAAGACGCACATGCAGCACACCGGAAACCCGTCGGTCATTCACTTTCCTCCTCGCCGCGGACGACACAGCAGACTGGAGCCGGCACGCCACAAATGTCAACGCCCTCAAGCGGCGGAAAACTTCGGTTGGTAGCCGCGTGCCGCGTGCCTTTGCGGCCCAAGGTCAGCCACTCCTGAGCCACTCTGCCCGCGATTAGCCTGTTTCGGGTATTCCCCGGCCAATGGTAATTAAATGTTAAGTGATTTGCATTATTCAGCCTTGTGGCCTCTCTCCCTGTCCCTACAGGCCGTACAGGTACAGGCCTACAGCCTGCGCCCATTCTACATCCACCGGACAGGTCTTCGCGGACCATGCTTTGTTTATCATTGCTCGATATTCGATAATCGTTCCATCACAGCGATGACCGAGGAGGCATGTTTATTAGAGCCCGCAACAATATCACAATGAGGAATAGAAAGCGACCGTGCCCATAAGCCGCGTTACAAAACAGGTGCAATCACACACGAAGTCCTCCGGGCTGCCCCGCCCCCTCTGACACGTCAGCAGTCCCGGCGGGAGGGGGCGCGGCCGCCGCACCTGTCCGGCCGGGACTGGTGCGCAGCGCGGCGCCGGCCCGTCGGATCACTGCGGCTGCGGCGTGGTGCGGATGTACTTCTTGCCTGAAGGCACCTCGTGCACCTCGACACCGGCTGGGAACAGCTTTTTGGCGTCGTCCTCGCTGATAGATGGCAGCACCATGCACTTATCGCCGGCCTGGAAACACATGGGAGACCGGTGAGACGCTACGGGCGCTCACTTTCTCCGTCACTCAGAACCGACTGCAGCAGTAAGTGAGAGTGGATTGAGCAAATACAACGGATTAAAGTGCGGCCTGCATGATAATGTCCCACTGCATCGGATAAGTCGGTGTCGCCTGGCGTCATTCATTTCCCCCGCTGCCCAACGTTCCCCGTTCCACAGGTCCGAGGTGCACCGCCGCCCCAGCGGGTCACTGCCCCACGCGGGCCGGCCGCCGCCGCCAGCTGCGGGCAACCCAAGGTCAGACGGCGCGGCGACTGCCGGCGGACTGTGGGAGCCGACTCCCTCGTGGCCGGCCAGCCATGGACTCGGAGCCGACTCCCTCGTGGCCACTGGCCGGCCATGGACTCGGAGCCGACTCCCTCGTGGCCGGCCAGCCATGGACTCACGGAAAGGGTCTCTGATAAGGAATCGGAACGACCCGAGACGCAGTAGGGCCGGCCGAGGCAGGGGTGGGCTGCGGCTCGCGGTTGTAATGTGATGACTGGGGTGAAACCGATACGGTCACCCGTCACTCGACACCGCTGACAGCTCATATGTCAGCTCGAAGCCGGCTGATGCCTCCAGTGCGTCACTCTCAATGGAGCTAAAAATAGCGTTGAAAGCAAACATAACCGCTATATCAAGAACATTGATGCGGCAGTTGCATTCCGTCCCAGACCGTCCAGCGTAGTAGCGCTGCGTTGCAGTTATGCAATAATGCAACGTCGCAGTTGCACGTCAGGCCGGTTCCAAAGAAGTAATCGTTAGTTATTTACGGTTGGCCCGTCGGCTCGGCATTCCCAACATTTTAGGACAACCAGCGTCATAATGTCGAAAATCAAAACATTGCCGAATTTCAGAACCCGGTGAGCATTGGTAGTAGCTCAGCTTCTAAGATAACTAGATCTTAAAGGAAATAGTTCACTTTTAACATGGGATTTTGAACTGGAATAGCAGTTTCGTAGCTTGAGCTGAGACTAGCACAAATCAGGAGCTTTTACGGCTCAACGATCACCCTAGACGAAGATATTCCATTTCTCGTTCCGAAAAGAGTGCCTTGCAGAGGAATGTGTGCCTTGCACAGGAATGCAGCCACATCATCGTCAGCCAATGAGCATGCTGCTTACAGCTAATGCAGCATGCGTAGGTTTGAACTACGCAATATGATTGGTCAACGCGTAATAAGCTTCCGCGTCAAACATTATTTTACATAGAATATAGTTCGTCCTATATTAAAATATAGAAAATAATTGTTTTTACAAAAAGGTTTTATTTTATTTTCTGATCATTTTGAGCATAAAAAATCGTAAATCCATAGCAAAATACTAATTTCAGGAAAGTGAACTGTTTCCTTTGAGACGCTACACCTCTGCATCCGCCGGTCCACATAAGTCGGCCCGGCCGTCCGCCCCAGCCTGGTCCCAGTCCCACGGACCCCTATCACAGCCCCGTCCCGTCCCCTCCGCGGCTCTATTCCGCAGCTGCAGAAACGGCCGGTTCGCCGGCGGACAAAAGGACGGCCGGTTTTCCAGCGGCGATGACTGGCAAAATCAGACCGACCTTTCCGGAGTGGCGACGCGACTCTCCGTTTCACCGGACTGAGTATTATTTCCTGCACGCCGCTCCGATCTTTGCCAGTCATGGTCGGCGGCGTCACTAACGGGAGACTGGTAAAGCCCAGCTGCTCTAACCGGTCTACACCTCACTCAGAGTGATTTCTGGATAGTTGGCGGGTGCGGACAAAACTGCCCGCTTTTTGACATGTTGCTGGGAAAACGTTCACGTCTGTATCGTCCAGGTTTGATGACGATGTTATGTTGGCTCTCTCACCTTCCAGTTGACCGGGGTGGCCACCTTCTTCTGAGCTGTCAACTGCAGTGAGTCGATCGCCCTCAGAATCTCACTGAAACGCACAGTCAAAATGGCACGTCAGGCACTGAGTGAGTAAGCTCGGATGAAAATTCATCAACAAATGGTTACAGTCCGAAGTTTACATGGCCATGTCTCGCGTAATGATTATCGGAAGTGCATGGAAATCAGTACGGAAGACGTTTTACGGTCATATTCAGACACATGGCAGAAAAAAACATATTTATAAATTTCTTACAGTGCACCGCATACGCCTAAAAAAAACATCAGAATGCTTCCTTGAGATAAGCTTATGAGCGAGAGACATGACATCTCTCCCAAGGTGAGCCTATTGTTATGTAATAGCGGCCCATCAGATATTCAATTCTCGGCGACTCGCTTTGCCAGGCTCCAAACCGGACTCCTCTGCAGCAACAAACCGCGATCAACATGCACGTGCACGACGGTTCAGTGTTCACCATCGGGAAAACGTGCACAATGATAATACGGTAGAGCTCTCGACATGACTTTCTGCATGACTAGGCAGAAAGTTCGATGGGGCAACAGTTATTACAAAACACGCGGACTGAATGTCTCAACTTCCTCTTAGAAATATGTAGCCACCGTCTGATGAGGTGCAGGGTGACGCAAAAGGCATCCGGTGTTTGGATAACATCATGACCTCAAATGTAAACCGCACTGATGCTATGTTGACACGGCGGTCATTAGGATGCAACGTCAACCCTCCGCTGCAAATACAGACCGATTGATGAGGGCTCTGACGCATCGCTAGGCGATGAGCAAAATAAACCACAACACGACCCTGAGCGCACCGACGAGAGCGACATAATTACATCCCAGGCAATGCTAAAATAACATCACCGCATGCAACTATCATAAGTAGTCAGACCAGTATAATCCGCTAAGTCTATGCCTCACGCTAAAACCTCGACTGCCCGACTTCAGGCTCGCCACTACAGCAGCTCGACTCACTGGAAGTTGCGTCCGGTGGTGGCCGGGTACAGGATGGACAGCTTCAGTCGGTTGTCGGGCCCGACGACGAACACGGCGCGCGCCGTCAGGCAGAGTCCCTCGGCGGTGCGCTCGTCAGGGTCGAGCATGCCCAGCTGCACCGCCAGGCGCCGCTCCTCGTCGGCAATAATCGGGTACGGGAACGCGCCGGCCAGGTGGTTGTACGCCTCAATGTCTTTGATCCAGTCCCTGAGGCGCGGGAGGGGAGGTGAGTGAGACGGGGAGCCATGACGATTACCGGATCATTTGGTCCGTGTAGCCGCAGAATTTTTCGGTCCCTACCGGTTGCGGGATGAGAGGAAGGCAGCAATTTTTGCCCATCCTCAGTTCCCACACCTGCGCAGCACAGCACGTGGACATACGACGGGACGGGCGGGTGGTGGACACTGGACAGTGGACAGGCCGGGCGAGTCACAGTTGGCAGCGGTGCAGCCATGCGACGTAGCACGCCGACGCTACCGCTCGTATGTCATTCAGTCATCGGCTGCACGCTGCAGCCGTCAATAGCACAACAGTCATGGTCGCAATGGATGAACGACGCAGCGTCATCAAGGGCAAACGGACATGCATGGCAGCATCCAAACTACGCAATAGGGTTGTGTAACAAATGCGCCTTTGTGATGCAAATCCATTTCCCATAAATTTTCACAAACGAATTCGCTGGCAGTCACATATTACCTTTTGGGTAGCAAAATTAATACCGAACCAACAAAACAAGCACATGTTTCGTAAGTCACAAATGCATGCGAAACCTAGTGGCAGTGAGCTGTCGAGCTCGCTTCCAAAAATAGCATCTTGGTTACGCCGCACAATCTACCGCAAATTATGCCATAACTTCCACCCACCAGACCACACACATACCTGGCTCAGTGCCCTCCCCACAAACCAAACCACTCTTCACTCTCCCACTTCCCACAGAGCGACCGGCGGCTTACTTGTGCGACTGCACTGGATCGCAGGAGACGGCGATCATCTTGACGCCACGTTTGGCGAACTCGGGGGCCAGCTGTGCGGCGGCTCCGAGCTCCGTGGTGCAGACGGGGGTGAAGTCGGCGGGGTGGGAGAACAAAATACCCCACCTGTGACAGGGTGAACAGCAGCGTCACTGAACGAGAAAAGGTTAGGGCAGTTTGCTCTGTTACAGTGGACGGTGAACTGGAAAATACATAAGCCAGAAAGAAGCTAACGGCGCTGATGAAGCAGTCATGCTCGGTAAATGCGATGAAAGTTCGAACAAACAGCTTGTTTGAAGTAGGTCCCATGGCAAACACGGTGACGCCAGGTATATAAGTTGGAGTCTCGATCGGTAATTAGCAACGTGTTCCGCAAAGAGACCGTCCTATTACCAGAGGCTCAAATCCCGGACCTGTCGTCTCCGAGCAGGAGAAGTGCCGCGAATAAGTGTCGCAGACAAAGTGCCGCGAATAAGTGTCGCAGACAAGTTACTCACGATCCACCGAGCCAGTCGTGAAACTTGATCGGGCCCTCGGTGGTCTCGGCCTCAAAGTTGGGGAACACCTCGCCCAGGAGCACCATGTTGGCTGAAACAGCACAAGGGATAAACACAGTCAGCATATAGACCCGTCAAGCCGGAATATGGGGGTGGAGCCGGAGCAGGGACCGCAGCCAGCTGTCAGCACGCGTAACGACGGACGGTACACACAACTAACAGCCAGGGGAGGATAACGGCTAGGTGCGCCGAACGATACTGCGGGCCAGTTACCTTCAGACATGCACATTGCACTCTGCACACCAGTGCAGTCCACCACACACCCTAATATTGATTTTACGAAACGAAGCAGCATGCAATCTTCCCCTTCCTTTGGTACTCGCGAGTCGCGACCACGCAATTTGTGCCACTACGCCTGGTAGGTACGCTACACCAATATACCCTGCGCTACACCTGCGTGCCGCTAAAATCGACCGAGTATTACCGGTGCATGCGAATTGAGCTAAAATGACGCATTGCACAAGTCCACCAATAAACGTGAACAGTGAAACAGACGGCGAGCTACGAGCAACGCTGACAATCTGCGGCCTGCCAGACTAAATTGGCAGTGATGTGTGACCGCCGTGCCGCCTAAATAAGACGAGGGATTACATCCGCATCCCGCGCCGTCATAAACACTGATGAGCTAACTCCCGGTAGCAGGGCCGAGTTGTAAACACGGTAGATATAGGAGCTAAGTGGTAAAACTGTGCTATAAATCCGAATATGCCCTTTGTAAGTGTTAGAAGCTCATACGGTTTCGGCTGAGAAATATGTATCACTTAATAATTATCTATGTCATATTCAAAATTTAGGTGTACCGCTCTTTTTCCATGAAAGGATTGTCTCTCAAGTATACCTATACGCCTATACGCATGCATAAATCACCAAGAAAATGGTCACGCATTAACCACAAGGAGTTCAGCGTTTCAGATTGGGTCACAAGTGGCTTCATATTGAAAACAAAATGACAAAAGATGGTTTCATTAGATTACGGAGCTGTCTGGATGCATCTGGCGCGTGTGGCAGGGACGACATGCTCCGTGATTGATCCTGGGGTCGGAGGGCAGTGGCCAGACGTGTAGCAAAAACTGTACACGAGCACGGCTCGCTACTGAACGGTCCCGGGGCAAAAACGCAGCCGGCCCGACGGAATGCGAGAGCAGCGATGTCTGCCTCAATGACGGCTTATATGTCTGACTGGGAGTGCTGCAGGCTGGTAGTCGGTCGCGCGCCAGGAGGACGTTATGACATGCGGACATGAAACGCTTTATCAAAAGCACAAAATTGCACACGCAACGTCTTGGAAAAGCACAACTATATTGCAAGAACTGCCACTGAAAACAGATACGGCTGACTGACACACACGGTAAATATAATTTCACAATCTTCATATTGCGATTGGCAAATCTTCTGGCTCAATCTCCACATAAGTAAACTTAGGCAGACTTATGCAAGAAACCCAGACCAAATAATCATACGGGCTGGCGAATAACAAAATTTGATAGGAATAAACAAAAACTGGATATTTCTCGGATGCTCATCACAGCCTAATGCTAGAACTGGATTTGGCCGTACTCTCCCGGTCGTCGGAACCAACGCACCGGGACACAGTGACCAGTCGCTCCTCATTCCTGACATACCGAATGAAGTGAAATCAGACGGGAAATAGGAGACACTTGCCGACCATTCAGGAGAAATTGGACCAAACGAGGGCAATACTTGTGAAATTATAGGCCGACTGTTAAAGGGAATAGAGAAACTAAAGGTCAGTGGCCCTGGAAACGCATCATATTTATGAGACTAGAGAAGGTGTAATGAGATATTATGGGGCATTGTGTGGAGGGGAGGGGGACGGAGCCGGAGGGACGGATAGCCGGTGGGTATGGACGCAAGCAAAACACTTCAGCTAGTTGGACAATGGTGTGCACCAGACCGGGGCAGTGCCGAGATAAATCTGGCGTCTGATGCAATACAACGGCGCACGGGTAGGAGGTCTGGGGTCACTCAGATGAGTACGATCGATCGATAGAGGCCGAAAACCTCCGTCGGAAAGGGTCACCACTGAACCTATAGAACATTGAAGGCGGACATAATTTGGTTCGAATACTGGGCACGCAACACAGGGTTTCGGTCAAGTACCTGCATTTATGGTACAATTCTGCACCATTGAAGTGCTTGTAATCTCGATCGATCGTGTCAACAGTTCCGGACGATCAGCGCGATCAATGACAAGGATAACGATTACGACTATCAGTGAAGCTGACGAGCATGAGGGTAAGCTTAGTAAGCTACCAGCGTAAGATAAGTACGCTCTACACAAGAGTGAAGAGTATGTAGGGTATGAAATGATTGAGGCAAGATGAATCTGACCACCTCCAGGAATATGGTTGCCCGGTATGATGCCAATTACCAGCCTTCGCATTTGACCGCAATTGGAAACAAACTGGACAAAGCTATCAATAACTAGCTTTTTAGTTGGACTGGGTTGCATCAGTGGCCAACAAACATGCGCCAAATATTTGGCTACATTCATTACTTCGAAATTGAGTAAGTTTACATGCGAAATAACTATATTAGAATTACAATGTGTTCCAAAGGCACGAAATAACCTTCAAGAAAATTAAGGCGATATCAAACGCAGTCATATAAGTAGGCGGTGCACGAAAGCAAGGTGCACGCATGCAGTAGAGGATCACGCAAGCAATTACCAAATGAAATGCGCATTACATCCACCGACATCGATCTGTACAGTAAGTATGTTTCCAAGGAAGAATTTCGTGACGACTCAGTCGGAGCTGACGCAACATACATGCAATATTAGACGCATGGTGGCAGCGATGAGGGGCTATTATCATCCGAGCATGAAACCGGCTTCCAGAGACCGGACGGAAAGCGCTGTGTTCCCGACTCCCCCACGAGGCCAGCACAGTGACTGCGCCGTCTTCGAACGCCCAGAAAAGTGGGCAATGGGTTCAACCTTCTGTAACTATACATCATGGACAGCCGAAATGGGGTTGTTTTGTATCAAGGCAATATTAATCCGTCATGTCGGTCGAAGGCCCGGAAATATCAAGCAGTGTTCGAGCTAAACCGTTTTTGCGATCTATTTTTGACTTTGTTAAATACATGTAATAAAAAGCCCATGAACATGTATTCAACGAATGCAGGCTGAGAAAGCGCAACATGTAAACTATGCACTCAGAAAGTGGAAAACCGTTACCGAACAAAGGTGTCGCTAACCCAATAATTGCACATTTGTCTGTCACCAGTCACACCCTTCCCAAACAGCTCCACTAGACCAGAAACTAACCTGAGAGTAACGCGACAGAGACCACCACAACTACCGCCCGCTGAGACCCGCCGCCGACTGCCTGCCCCGTGCCGCAGCCCCGGGCTGGGAGGCCTCCGGCCCGGCAGACACCGGACCTCCTCCAATTGGTCAGCTGTAGGCTCCGCCCACTGCCGTGCAAGCTCTGGGGCCAAGTGACCGGGGCTGGGGAAACGCGGGGGACATTGACATGGGAGGGACACCGCGATAACTGTAGGTCGGATGACTGATGGTTCTCAGATTTGTGTAGCTTGTTCGGCGATCGTCGGGCGTGCGACAAGACTGACGAGATCATCAGACGGAAATGCTGATGCAACGACCAGCTGTTGACTACTGCAACCAGATTCGACCATATGCTCACATAACTTGTTCGGTGGCTACATGGCTTAGAAAAATCTCATCTACCGCCGTGCTTGTGCCATGGCCCATGAGGCTAGTTCATTAACCCGCGCATGACTGGGATATTTTTCATAAGGCCGTACACTAGGGGAGGGGGGGGGGGCTCTAAAAAGCCCCCTCCTATCTTCGAAACCACTGGGCCGATCGTCAAAATTCAAGCGGCGTTAGATAGCCCTGGAAAAACTGCTCATCAATACTAATTTTATTGGCCTCGAGGTCACCAATGACATCGCAAGTCAGGTCAAAGTAAAACAACCTTTTGGCTTGTTCATACTTTTAGGCTCCATGGCCGCGGCTTACAAGTCATATCAAGCTCATTTTTGGCCTACACACTCGTGAATATATGCCTAACACGCCCTGAGGGTACCGAGCTTGTAGGTCCTTCGAATTTTTCAGCTCAAGGCTAGGTCAGTCTAGGTCACGGAAATTTGATATCATGCATGGGTTACGTGACATATGTTTTATGATACATTTCAGCGATAGACTTCGAATTCGGTGTCGTTTGTTTCCATCTGAGGCCATTTTTTCCGAATATAGCTCAGGTCAGGTCACTTAGGTAGGTATATCAGGTCAGGTCACGGTAAAAAGATAAAATTCTGCAGTTTAATTTTTTCAACAGAAAGGTTGCCGTATGCAAGAAAGTTAGTTCCTGGCTATGTTGGAGTGCAAACCTTTCGGAGCACCCAGTACAAAGCGTAGTTGTGCCTCGGATAGACGGTGCAAAGCTCCTCACACATGGGCGTAATGAAAAGCAGACGAGTGGTGTGCTCTGCCTGTCTGTCTGCCTGTCTGTCTGTCTGTCTGTCTGTCTGTCTGTCTGTCTGTCTGTCTGTCTCCCTCTCTCTCTCTCTCTCTCTCTCTCTCTCTCTTTCTTTCTCTCCCTCCCTCTCTCTCTCTCTCTCTCTCTCTCTCCCTCCCTCTCTCTCTCTCTCTCCCCCTCTCTCTCCCTCTCTCTCCCACCCACATCCACTCTGGTGCGGTGAGGGACAGGCGCTGAACGCCAGGATGACCTAGTTCTTCGTCCTCGAGTCTCAACGCTTGGAGATTGCCAAACCCAGAATAATTACGGTGATGCTATTTGTGCGCATCAGCGAGATGCCATGACTGCTTTCCAGCGTTTTCGTAAGCTTGTGAAACAAATAATGATTTAATTATATCTATGGAGCGACTTCACCGCCACGTGACATCTGAAAAGTGAGTTTTTATATAAAAAGACTGAATAAATCTTGCAGATCTCGAAAGTAACTTACAAGTTACAAGGACTTTGGCATAGACTCGGAAGAATTATGAGACCCGGGAACAGGGTAAGGGTGACTTTGCTC